GCCCCTCTGGGAGAAGTCAGACAGAAAATGTACTATTTAAAGTACTCAAATGCATAGTTCAGAGATTGAAAAATCATCTTGTGTAAGATTAAAAAAAAAATTAAAGAAAATTATCAACCAGTGAACAGATATAACAGATCCTCTTTCTACAGTCACTTGATCTATAAGGATGCCATTTGTCAGTAACAATATCGTACCTAAATCTCAGCCTGTCAGTACTCTTTAGGTCTTTGAGCTTACCAAATATATTACAGTTCAATGTCTATCACAAAAACATCCTAACATTCTTACATTATTTTGTGCCACAGTTAACTTCTAATTGCAGTGAAGCCTGTAGTTATCAGTGACGACAGAATCTGGCCCCATCACGTGGCCCTATGATACAAGTACTAGCTTATGATTAAGAGAGGCTGAGAAAGCAGATGTCATGGCAGCTAAACTCATCTTACCTCTAGGAAAATATGAATGTTCCTGCCAGGACAACACTGGGAAACCTGAAACGCAGCTGTCTGTCAGGACTCTGATGATGGATCGCTCTTTTAACAGTTTTTGTAGTCAATATTCTACTGGTCAAAGCAGAAGAGTAGGATAAGTGATTCTGTTCATATCAAATAATCATATGATCAGTAATAGGCACAGGATGATGTTCACACATATGAATACAGCATTTCTGAAATCTGTAGAACCTAATGAGTGGATACATACAACCCTACAAAACTTTTGCTATTTTGGAAGAGTCTTCTAGCTTTTACCTTAATCTGGAAATATAGGTGTGATCTCTTTCCCTTTTGAAAATCAACTATTGACATTATCTTCCAGTCTCCCTCGCAGGAGTTCCCTGGGCAATCTATGCTCAGGGAATTGTGCAGTTTAACTCCTGAGAAACATACTGCTAGAAACTGATGGATAAAGCAAAGATGCCATGCCAGCAGCTTTCTCCATCCTCCAAAAGCTCCTAGGACTCCAAAACCTTTGCAGGAAGATCATACCACAGAAAAGAAATCATGTCCCACACTGGGACAGTTCAGTACAGTTGTCCTAACAGGATTCTAAAAGATTTTATCCAGTCCCATGACTCCATAGTGCTCCCTATGGATATTTTTTACCATGTGGGCCAGAGGAATACATACATAAGTAAACCTGCATGCATATATAAGCACTATCAGCCTGTATAAAAAGGCTTCTTATTAACTCAATATTAGCTTATTGAAGGTGAAATTGAGGTGGAAAAGTTAACCAGAAACAGCTAATGAAAAAAAAAAAGCTGCAGCCTTTAGTTTAGTCTGAGATGACACCTGGCAGAAGGAAATCACAGGAAATGCAATGCTGTTCCACATTAGGGAAAGCTTATGTCACGTGATAATGTCCTCCCAGGAAGGTGGACCACTCTGTCTCTAAGCTATTTATCAGTTCAGCATTTTTACTTCATTGGTTATTACAATATATAATCTCTTACATCCAGTGCTTAAATTTTACTAACAGGTCCTAATTTAAAAGCTTGAATTCTATGAGGTATCAAATCAAAATTTAAATACAGTTGAAGCTTGCAAAATTTCCTAAGATAGTACCGTTTAGGTGTACCTCATTTTCAACAAGTGGAAAAAAAAATTGTAACATTGTTAAGAATATTTTTAAATTGAGAAAATTGCTTAAAAAAAACACATAAGAAAAGGTCTTGCAGACATTTTGAAAAAAAACTTGCAAAGCCAAGTATTTTAGAAGAGTTCTACTAATTTTGCTTGCACAACTTCTGAATTTTAGATCTCTAAAATAGTTGCATAAGCTCTGTTGAGCAGTGGAAATGTTTGGTGATGATATTAGCAGGCCATATCTAAAAGGAGAGACAGTTTTTTAAATCTGGCACCATGCTAACTGTACCCAAGGTAAAGTCTCTTGCATATGCTCAAACCTTTGACTACTAAGGAACTGGGGTTTCTAGGATTCTGGGATTTCTCACTGTGCAATCCAAAATGCCAGATTTCTCAGACCTACCTTGGGAATATCCAAAACGGTGTTGAATTTCAGAGCATATAAATTTTCTACCTTAATACTGTAAGATGCATCCAACAAATGTTAATTATTAATAATTTGAAATATAAATATTTATATACAGAAACTGAGGGTCATAGTTTCTGTTTTGATGCAAAAAATTCTAAGTTAAATATAAAAGTCTAATATTCAATCTATACATTTACAACCCTATGATAAAACACAAGGCAAAACAATTGCAGGCGTTAGTGATGACAAAACACCTGGGTAGTTCTCATAGTTTAGTAAAAACATAATGAAAAAATGATTTGTCAGACCTCAAAGACACTAAAAGGTCTTCCATTTAAAAATCAACAGGTGATAATGTTGTAAATAATGTAAAGAGCACTTTGCAGATTATTACCTACTCATCTACACTGAATTCTTCTTAATAATTCAATTTATAAGTCAGTACTGTATATTGTTATTGGGGGTAATAAGCACCTCATGAGCAACATGGGTTTTAATAGTCCTGTGCTTTACAGCCTTTGAGAAGCTTGGCAGTAACAGAAGAAATGAAACCAGAACACTACAGAAAATTCCCCCTCTTAAGCCATGTCTACTTTGCAGTCACAGAAGTGACTTCTGTGAAGTGTTGAGGTATTTTAAGTTAAATAGACCAGAAAATTGTAACTGTCTAGCTATTGCTGCTTGGCTTAATTGGGTCCACTCTTTTACTTCCTTGACAGCAATGTAGACATGGACCAGAGACTCCTGTTCCATTCCATCTTTGTAGTTTCTTTCTTTTCTGCTTCTGTCCTTTTATTCTCCCAAAACTAGGAAGCTCAAGGTAAAGTGAGGCATCAAACTAAAGCTTAAAGCTTAAAACATAGTGTTTGGTGACTTTGGTGACCCCAAAGACAAGAGCAGGTTGATGCATATTTGTTATGCCTGAAGTGTCTAAATATTTCATAATTAAACAGCTTATGTAGACATATCTGTAAATATCTCCTCTCCAGTACAAAATTTTAGTCAAAGCCAACCATTGTGGCTTCAGTCACTATCTGAAGACACTTGAGGGTATCACTGGGGGGAAAGGGTGATATTTAACTGATGAATGCCATCCAGGAGTCTTAAAGTCTTGATTAAGACAATGAATCAAATAATCTAGGTGAATTCTTCTTTTCATTTAAAAATAGTTCAATTAGTAGTAGAGGATTTAAGTAATGGGTTGAGCTGGAATCAGAAACTCAAACTTGAGAGGAAAATCAATAAAACTGAAAATTAGGAAGAAACAAGGTCCCTGTGCTATATAAGTGTTTGAATCTTCTAAAAAATAGCCTTAATTCTCAAAACCTTGGCAAATTGCTAATTTCATAAAAGAATTATAAGTCTGATCAAGGAATGTTTTAAATGAATAATTTTAATTTTAATCCCTTTTTATATACATTTTTCAACATTTCAAAATGAAGTCAATTTGAACTGAAAAATGAAAATTCACTTTTAGAAATTTTGAAACAGGATATTTCAATAAGTTAAAACCTTTTTTTCCACAATATACTTCTAATGGGAATTATTAAGACCATCCATTTTCACAAACAGTGCTGCTCTTGCTGAATAACACTTCAAATAATACATTTCATTGAAAAACTCTCAGTCAGGTCAAATGGCAATATACACTGTCTTCATGATAGATAGAAAAGTATATAAAAAATAAACACTGTTTGCTTAAACACTCATCAGAATTGCCTTGCTTGCTATTGTTCTTTGGCTTTTATAGGCATTATTGCTCCTCTTATTTATCACTAATAGTATTGGAAAGAAATGTACTTCACCTAGTTAGTGGAATACAGGAAACTTAAATCTTTGGAATTTTCTTTTTCTTTGCAATGGGACTAGTCAAAATAAAAATCAGATTATTTTTGCTGGCGTATTATTGACTGCTTTCATAAGAATTATGCTTACACATCTTACACATCTGTAGCAGGTAAAAACTCCCAAACATATAAGAGACTCTTGAGTCCTTTGTTTTTATTTATGCAGGAATGAGAAAGATACTAATTTAAGAAACCTGCACTGAAATTCTAAGTGAATTTATGAATGCGTTTCCAAAACAGCTGTTTTCCTTAATATAAATGCACACTGTTAGGGGTGACTTTGCCTAGGTTTCATCTCAATTTCTCTATTGAATTTGCTGTATGACAACTGACGTCTGTCTCATGTATATTTTTTCCAGTTTCAAAGCAATGGACTAATGCTTTTCCCCTACTAGCTTTTTTCTTCACCTAATTTCTCTTTGTAACCAACTTCACACACTACTATCATAAAGACAGTTTCTCTCTTGTGGACAGCAAGCAGAATCACTTTTCTCTTTTACCTTAAATTAACTTCCGCTTCAAGATTTCTCCTCCTAAGAATCCAAATCTTTAAAATGAAGTAAAAATTTTCAAGTAATCATGGATATTCAGTAGGGTTATTTTCAAGCTCTGCCACTTTGTGGCAATGGTTATAATGTTACAGGAGGACAGCAAGAATCTGTTAATTCTTTCTGAAGTTTTACTTATTATATTATGTATATGTGTATATATACATATATGTGTATATATATATATACATATAAAATATATATATAGGTATGCTTGACACATTCTTCATACAAATACAGGGGAACAAGAGATGGCTGCATAATGTATTTTAGATTGAGATAATTGCTGTCAAAAAGAAAGCTTTCAATGGAATTAAGTCAAATGTTTAATGGCAAATGAGTAACTTCATGGAGAGATATTATTGTATCTTAATGAATAATGACCTATAAACTCATCACTTTATGGAATTATTTGCAATATATACTGAAATAAAAATATACATTTTATAATTTTTTTCTTTTGAAGCTCAAAATTCAGGAAATGTTAGATTAAAACCACAAAAATAATAAATCTGTTATGCCATCAATCATAAAACTAAAGAATTTGAATATTCCTTTTTATGTGCAAAATATTACTCCCATTTCAATGCATGGCATAAGCTGAAGCTTCTATAAAAATATTTATAGCAAAATACAGTTTGAATCTATAATTACATTTAATCACTTTTAGAAAGATGCATCCAATAGTTAGACACTAAAATTATTTAGAATCAGTCAATCTTACCTCAGTTACTGATGAAGTAACAAAAAGTATGCTGCAATAGACCTTTGTGAACAGAATGGTATATTTGCTCTCATCTACATAAAGCCCTGTAAATAACCTACAGGTTGTTAGTCATTACTTAACTCAGCATCCAAAATGCTCATTTTAGCTCTTCAGTATTAATACATTATACACAGAATATTTTAATAAACCATTGACAACAGGATGCATTTTAAGCAATGTAAGGAACAGTTACAGAAAAAAATTTGATTTCTCACATAAAAACCTTCTTAGAATTCCCTCCACTGAACATACAAACCCCTCTGAAGGAACTCAAAAGTCTTTAATGGATTGTCTTGGGACACATCAGCAAAGCAGAATTCAGTATCTAACATAAGGTGCTTCCTGGGCCATTGGTGTAGTAAAGCATCAGGCAATGTATGAAATCACTGTACTGTTTTCATTCATCTTCCTTCAGTTGGCAGTCACACTGGCTTCCTTCTGACGTAGTCTTTCTTTCTGTTAAAGAAAATAAAAAAGAGTTTTATTATAATTCTTGTCTATAATTTTCTCCTCTCAAGTTCCCATGAGCATTTGGTCTAGAAGATGGTAATATAAGTCACAGTTTCAGTTTTCTTTAATTAAAAAATGCTTGGAGCACTCAAAGAAGGTTTAAAACTTTGAAACACATTACTTACTGAGTTTGCTTTCGCTACGTACTTTTAAAATACTGTGTACCTTTAAAAATACCCATCTGTGATGACCACTGCAGCTACAGAAAACCAGATAAATTTCAAATTCATGTGACTCTAATACCTTCTCATGTCTGGAATGGCTTTTGCTGACATAAAGGCTCTAATTTAGCATTAGCCAAAAGATCTTGCTTAATGACCTCTTCCCAGGCAAGCATAGTCATTCATATCTCTGCTGCCTGATCTGCAACTGATATGCTCTGCTGGGAATGGAAATAATACCCTGATTCCTTCATGTACATTTCCTTCCCTTAGTCTCTTGCCTTCTAGAGTTTGAGAAATGCCTGTCTAACCTATGTGCCTTGCACACAGACAAAAAAAGTATTTATATACAACGCAAATTATTAGACATCTTACTGTGTTGTATCGAAAACACCAGTGTACAACAAGGAATAAAATGGGGATTTAATCCTTTCTACCATTATTCCACAGAAAAACCAAGATTTTTAGGTTTTGAAAAAAGCAGACACTCCAGCCATTGGACTAATATATGCAGTGAGCTTCTGCACTTTGAAGCATGGAATAAAATACAAGAGACTACAGTGGAAGAGAAGAAGAAACCACAAAAGCAGCTCTTTTTGTTATTCAAAATAGCAGAGCCATGCTTAGGCACGATTGAGCTAAGTGTTAAACATAACTTTTGACTACCAAAGGGCATAAGCTTTACCATTTCTCCTTGGGAAGAAAATCACTCTGCTGCATTCAAACGAAAAATACTACACTCTCCAACAACAGCAGAAACCGGTCATCATTCTGAATGACAAGAACGGTGTCACAAAACCCTTTGGAATGTCAAACTGAAAACCAGATCATACCAGGCTGGCTGTAGGATTGATTTTCTTCGTTTCAACTTTCTTCTCTGCAGTTAACTTGCTCACTGATTGCTGAGCCACTTTAATTCTGAAACACAGAAAAGGAGTCATTAGATTTGATGAAATGAAAGGTATTCTGGCTCTGCTTGGTATATACTTTGTAAGAAGCCTCACCAGTAACTTTTTTTTTAGGCACATTAGCCCAACAAACTGCTATTTCTATTTAAAGGCACTTAATAAACTACCAAAAGTAGATCAAAGTAAATTTTCAAATGGAGAAAATCAAAAGCAAAAGGACAGCCTGTCTGTATTGCTCCTTGAAAATGTCATTGGAAAAATGATTTCTCTGTTCTTGCAGGACCTGGATTTTATGGAGTATCTTTCCCACCAAAAAAAGCTGTGCTATCAAGGCAAAAAGATCCTTCTCTGAAAAAAAAAGAGCTAGTTGGCTTAATCTGTCGGACACACAGAATATATTATTTTAGCAGGCCATTTGCCAGGCTATTTTTTACATTTCCTCTGAAAACCTTGCAATGAAAGCATCTACCAGTTTTTTGTTAAAGTTTTCTGTGTTGCTTTACATGGAATTGACTGACCAGCCTCACTGATGTGGCAATAGGAGGTACTTGTCTCAGGGTAGTTAAAACTGTCTTGTGTACAGCTACAGACTAGTCTGCCCAAAGTACTGTAGAGATAAGAGAAAAGAAGATCACATCTGATTCCTCTGCTTCTTGCCTTTTGCTCTCAGAGTATTGCATACAGAACCCTGCTTTCTGTGAGGATTTGACAAGAAGAACCCAATGAGGAGTTTAATCAGGAGGAAGAGGAGAAACAGAGAATTAAAGAAAAAGGGACTTGACTCTCCTTGTCCAGACTGGAAAATGCATAGGAAATTATATACTAAACAGTGATAAAAAGGAAAGAAAAGTCTTGGCACTCCTAATAGAGGATCTGCCCAGTGCTAAGTACCTCTGTAATACTGATGGTACATTCAGCTACTTTAAATTCTATATGCAAAATGCAAAAGGAAGGATGATGGGAGTGAATTTTTACAAGCAAGGAGAACTCAGCAAATCAATTTTCAGTAATGTACACCAAGTCAGTCTTTTACTAGAAGCAACACATTTCTTGGCACTCTCAAACTGAAAAATTCTACTTTCTTTTCCCATTTAACTTTTTCCACTGGCAGAAATAATTGCTATGGCCAGTCAAAAAGTATTTAAAATACCATGTCCAGTTCAAACCACTTTCGACACACTCAATTTTTGAGGAATTTTGGAAGAAAAGCAAAATGAAAAGTGGATTATAGCTGCAATTACTGATGTGTACTTCCTTGTTGTAACACTAGCAGCAAGCTGGATTCTTTTCAAAACACAGAGCACATTCATAAGTCCATTATGGTCTTTATCAATGTTGGAAATGTTATCAGTATTGGAAACCAAGAGTTTCTTCTCTACGTATTTTAGAAGCATGTACGGGATAGTTCCTGGCGTTGTCTTACTTTTGAGTGCTTAAGAAGAGGAGAAAACAGTTACACTACTTTCAACTAAACTTACTATTTATTATATTATTATAAATTATTATTCTGTACATTTTTTAAATACAGCTGGGACATTTTTAGAACTTGTGTTCCCTGTTTCTACATGTAAATAACTACATGACACCATGCTGTTCCATCCCTTTATTTTTGTTAAATCTGCACAGTTTACTTCTTAATGCAGGATGACTGCACCCACTCCACAGCATGCTATTCCTCACAGCTACAACATTTAAGCAAAGATGATGATGGATTTCAAGATGGTTTTCTTCTCAGCAGAATCACATCACGTGATCAGCTTCTAGACTCTTTCTTATTTTGAGCACATTTTCTATCTGATCACATTTTCTTGGTCCTAGAAGTGTTTACAAATATCTTGAGTCCACACTTTCATCCAAAGGGATGATTACAGGAATTACAAACCTTTAGATTTAAAAAGAAAATTATGCCTGCCACTGATACAGGTCTAGCTCTGTGTATTTCATGGAATATTTTCACTATTTCAAGGAAACCTGAAACTGGATGTTTAAAAATAGAATGAAAGATGGGGACAAACTTTAAGCAGGGCCTATTGCAAAAGGAAAAGGGATAATAGTTTTAAATAAAAAAGCCACTTTAGATTAGATATAAGAAAGAAGGTTTTCACAATGAAGGTGCTGAAACAGAATCAAGCCCTGAGATGAAGGGCCACAATCCACAGCTCACAGTGACAAGGACAGTTTCAGACAGAGAGCACTGGAGAGGACAAAGAGACCAAGAGGGATGATGGAGTAGCTGAACCACAACACAAGACAAAGGAGACTGAGCACTGGAACAGGTTGCCCAGAGAGGCTGTGGAGTCTCCCTCACTGGAGATAATCAAGAACTGTCTGGAAAAAATGCCGTGCCATGTGCTCCAGGATGGCCCTGCTTGAGCAGGGAGGCTGGACCAGGTGAGCCACTGGGGTCCCTTCCAACCTGACCAATGGGCTAACGTAGCAAGCAGTCAGGAGGCCAAAACATTATGGAATGCAGGTCACTTAAGCCTTCAAATCTGATGAGCTGCAACATGGATGTGTTCAAAAGAAAAGTTATTCTCCTTCAACTGTGATCAAAAGAAGTCAACACACCTTAATTAATAAAGAAGATGTGGTGTGAAACTGAGCAGTAGTACACATTAGCACACAATATGAAAAATATTGAATTAAATTAACAAAACTATGTATTTCTAAATACGAGAACCACGATTCCAATACTGCATATGTATCCTTACTATAATCTATGAGAACGTAATTAGCTTTTTACTGACTCTATGTGGCAGGTGGTGTCTTCCCCTGTAAATTGGATAAAAGCCAAGCCTCAAATTAGAAGTAATTAGAGAAAAATAAAGACATTATTTTTATTCAAAATTATTTTCATTCTGTACCTAGGGATGCAGAAACTTAATCTAAACATAAGCCTCTGTTTATGATAAAAAAGTCTCGTTTGTAAGCTCAGGAAAATGTGGTTTTTCCTTACAGGAGAAGATATTACCAAGCCAGGGACTAAGTAGATAAACTGATTTTCATTTTCACCTCTGCTCTCCACTCAAGTCAGACAGAAGGCAGCGTGAACTGAGTTCCCCAGTTAGAAAAACCAGAAACCCTTGTAAATGAACCAATTGCTATTCACATACTCATGTTCTGGCTCTGTTATTGTGCAACAACAGAGACAAAATTATCTGGTTCTCTCTCAGCTTCTCAGTAATCTGGAAAATCCATTCTTTTCACTTCTACAGCTCCTTTCATGCAGCTGGTGGGTTATGTGGATAGCTGTGGGTTAGAAAATAACGTGGAATGACAGTTCTGTGTCACCTGAGCTTCCCATGACTAGAACTTTAAACTTCTCCCATAAAACTGTTTTGGCATAAGGATATGTTGTGCAAACAAAATTTCAGATATGGGTGGAAATGAACAAGCGGAGGTAGCTACAGTCAACATCAACTGTTCAATCTGGAGCCAAGCTGCATACCCAGTCCAGACCCTTAACACAGCTGAACAGCGACTTCCCTTAGGACTATGGGAAATCCCCAGAGCTCAAATTCCTGTCGTGTGTTAAATACCTTTCTACTCTCAGTCCTATTTCTGTGTGCAGCCCATGAACTAAACCTCAAGTCCATTTCCTGAAAACTGTTAGCCCAAGAAATAAAACAGGTTGGATTTCAGTACCAAAATTTTAGAAGAGAGATGTTTGTGTATTACCTAGCCAGGCAGATGATTTTACAGAGTACTTGACTAGCTTTAAAATCAGAAGCCTTATACTAGATTACTGTGTTGTACAATACAACTGCCTATCAAGCCTTCAGGCCTAAATCTTCTGGAAAGAACTTGGTCATTACTGGTCAAATCTTTAGATTGCATTTATTTTAAATGCATCTAGTTCACTAACTAAATTAGTAAAATACAGTACAATGTGTGTTCTCAGTGGATTTTATCATCAAACTTCAAATTGCCAATATGTTTGATATGTTTCTTTTTTTCTGGATGTACTGACAGTGGTTTATCTACAAAGTTATCTACAAAGTGAAAAATTTCATCACTGTAGTCACAAGGAATAAGATTTTTTTTTAAATTATTTTAGGGAAGTCGATGCATAAGAAAAACCAATAGGAAGACAAGGGCTAAAGAACAAAAATATACTTCAGTCCATCTGAGATGGCCACTGGCAGATATTCAGGAGTATATAAAGACAGCCAAACCCTAGTGATAAATCACCAGAATGCTTTTGCAGCTGGAAACTCTCTTAATGTGTAAGTCCTTCGTAGATTTTGCTAATGTAACTTTGTGTTGTCACCATTTAGAATCAATGCAAGCTTTTACCATCTGTGACATCTTGTGACAAAGTGTTTCTCTTTTCAAGATGAAATATATAATTCTGTTCATTAAATAATGATCATGTCTTCTCCAGCTATTGAGACAAATTTTGGTTCTGTTTTTGATTTCTGAATTCTGGCCTATTTGTATGCATACTCAATCTGAAAGAGATTACTTCATCCAGTACAGTAACCATTGTAGCAATCTTATCCTTGCAAGAGTCAGCAGTGAGTTGAGTTAAATTAAGAGCAACAATTCTTTTCTGTTTTAATTATTTCATATTTGAAGGGTAACAGGCATAAACACATTACTATAATCTTTGTCACATTTCTTTTGCAAAACATAATCACAGTTTGTGATGAAACTCACTGCAAACTACTAGTATTTCTTTTGCATTTATACTTTTTCCTTATTTCAGACTTGTTTAGGACATCCTCTTAAAATATAATTAAATGCATCTTGAATGCTTTGATTGATTTATGAATGGGCATTCACATGTGTATGCATAATAGATTTAAGTTGTTATAAATACGTATTTGTTTTGATTCTGAGTTCATAGGCATGCCCACTGCAAATAAAATCAGTACTTTAAGAAAAGGAAGTGACAGTGGAAATATGCGCAATCCGCCTTGCTCTAAGTGCTTTATTGCCAAAAACTCCAACTTTTTAGTCTTCAATTCAGGTATTATCTCAAAATTTCATACACAGAAAAAAGCATAGAAGTAGTTGATGTACCTGAGTGCATACACATTGTAAATTATAAAACTGTCAAAAACAAAACTGGATTTTGATTCAAAACAGCACAAAAAAAGTGTTTTCAACATTCAGTGCATTTACACTAAGCTGTTTGTCACAGATGATGTGACTGTCAAAGCAAATTTCATTTCATTGTACTTAAATTCTGGTATTGAAGGGAAAATAAACTATCATCCTATTCCTATCAGGCATATGATTTTAGAAAATAATTTTCATTTTATCCCTATAGTCATTTATATATCATATCATATCATATCATATCATATCATATCATAGTTTCTTATTTATTTGTAACTCTGTCTTGCATTCCTAAATTACATGCAAATTTTGTCCAGGAAAGAGACAATGACTTGATTATATTTTGCAGGCAGCTAATTTATTTTCATGGTGAGGTTAAAAGCAGGGCAGCTCAGTTGAAGTGTTTCCTTTACTTTAAGAAAAAGTCTCATTGAAATCTCATTAGATTCCTACAGTTGTGCTACATTTGGGAGCCAAGTAGCTTTAGAAAAAACAGGTTCTTTGCAGCTGAGACTGTCATTTAGTTAAAGACAGCACTCTTTTTTCCTGAAACTCACAGATTTTAAAGATGCCTGTTGTACAATGCAATGTAGTTAGTTTGGAATATAAAACTTTAGTTTTGGAATAATAGATCTTTTGACACATGTTTACTAGTATTAAGTTTAACCTAATAAATTTTAATTATTCCTTTTATTAATGATCATTCTGCATATTATAATTAAATTTTTATGTGTCATATTTCTTGAAAGACAAATTACAATCCACTATTGACATTCCTATGTAAATGTAAACAATTAGCTAATTCCTACACATTTTACATTGGGTTTCGTCAGCTCCTGAAATTCAAAATGTAATCCAATTGGAAACATGTTCACCTAATGATATCAATGCCTCAGTTTCAGAACCTATGTTTCAATTACTGACTTACACTGATGTTTCTTCCTCTTTAAAACTTCCTTCAAAACAAAATAATGGTTCATGATAAAAATGTTCTCTTTCCTTTTTTTTTTTTTTTTTAAATTAAATCGCAATCTTTAAAAATGCACAACAAATAGTGCATCCAATTAATTAGCCAGTTAAGGAAGACAGCTGTCCATTCCTGTCATTCTAAGGTTTTTAGTTACCAGTGGGTACAATGACTCTTCCCTTGCTTTCAAACTTTTTTGGATAGCAGTTCATCAATTGTTAGTTTCATACTTTTAAAAGTTTTTTATACAGGACCCTTAAATGATCAAGACTTTACAAGACACTTTCAGGTGATGAAAAAAGCTTTTCCACAATTCTAATCTATTGATTTCACTCTGTCCTTCTTTTCAGTAGCACACTGCAGAACAATTTAGAATGAAGAAAACAGCTCTTCTGCCATTCTAATTTACTATTTACACAAGGTTCCTCATTTTAACAGCACATCATCTTGATGAATCACCCAAATTTGAATGTAAAGGACAATGAATTGTCCTTTTGAGACTAATGAAACTTTGTAAAAATTTGAAGTGAGCTTTGAAGAACAGTCTATATGACCCAGAAAGTGTCAGCACCTAGAAGTATTATAGTAACTGCTGCTCTGCATTCTACCGGTATTGCTTTACCCGGAACAGGAATAAAGGCATCTGTCAGAGGAACCAATGATATATTTGTTCTGTGTTTTTATTTGTAGATTAGATTGATACAGCTATTAAACCACAAGAAATTCTCACCTCACCTAAGTATGAAAGCACACAATATAGCAGTCTACTTCCAGAGATTTCTTGATTATTATATTCAGATAGTTAAGTAGCTACATACTGTTAAAACATAAGGCACTTCAAATCGATTTACTTGAAAGGATCATTGTGTACCATTAGCAAGGTGCTAATTACATAAAAAAGAAAGGATGCGTGGTTTGGATTTTTTTTTTCTTGGGCAGTTAACTTCTATTCCTCCTAACTACTTTTGGAATAAAAATAAGTTATGATTCAGCAGAAAATATATCCCTGAGATGGTCTTTATCATGACCATAGCAACATGCTTGGCACTTTTCATTTTATACAGTTTTTAACATGTAAACCAAATTCACATGTTAAATTTGGATTGATTTAGATACAAGGAAAAAAAAAGATTCTTTGTAAATGTTTGCATTTGTCAGCTTCCAAATCAATCAATAAATGATACAAAAATGTACCACTTTCACATGTTTTAAAACTGTAGGATCTGCAAAACAATGCTGATAAGGTTGATAATTGAGAATTCATAACTTCTACATCTAGTCCTTCAAAAAATCTACTTCATAGGAACCTGAAAGCCCCACTGATTCAAAGCAAAAATGGAAAATATAAGTGTAAATGAGTGTTCTACTTTTTCTTATTCTTTTAAAGACATTGTAATCTAACTCTTTGTCAATTTGGAATAAGCACCTGGATTTAAATTTCATGCTGAAAGTAATTGCTCCATTCTTTTCCAAAGAATGACTACATTACCACTCTAGGTCTTTTGAAATGAATTGTAACATGCTGAGTGTGATGAGCTTGTAGTAGAATTGCTTTTTTGTGTAAAAGACTTTAAGTTTCTTTAAGAAAACCAAGAAAATAATTGAAGGTTTAAGGTTTTGGGTTCTTTTACTCTAACTAATAAAATCAGGAGACTGTTGTGAGATCTAGCGGCAAGTAGTTTGATGTCCTCAGCAGGACACCAAAACTCAGAAGTAGTGCTGTAAATTCAGTGTGGGGCTTCGACACTATGCTAAGTGTGGCCTGAATCTCTGGGGCTTCTCTTTGATGCAAGTGCAGTATATTAACTGGAAAAGCATTCACTTTTATTTGTCTGTACTGTCTGCGACAGCAATATCGCCTCATTTAGGCTAGTTCAACATGAAAATGCACAGAGAAGCAATCTGTTATAAATTAGCACAGCTCTCCTTTCATTTTACTAGCTAGTAATTGGAAGGGGTTACAAAAGTGTAATTTATCAGATTATATGTGTTTATCTTTTTGTGGGGACAGCATGCCTTTGGTGAATTTTCCTACGCACCCTGAGGGAATAATCTTTCCTTGATGTCCATTAGATCTGAAAGAAAACAACGACGCCTGTGAAATATAGGAGTATAATTTGTTGGGTTTGAGAAGCAGCAGTTTCCCAGACATTTAAATGGTATTAATGACTTTATTAGAACCTTACCGTTCCTTAGAAATGCTTTTGCTCTCTCGTTTCCAAATGGTCTTGAAGTCACTGCAGAATTCGTACCACACCGTGAAAACGTAGTTTGGTGTGATCTCCTTCTCACCAGGCTTTGGCTTTATCCCAAAGTATCCCACTGTTTCTTCAAAGCTGCAAGGGAGGGGGAAAGAAAAGAAACCAGTCAACACATAAGCCCACTGGGGAAACAGTTTCTCTGATTCAGTAGTCAAGGCTGGTAATTACCATAACTTCTCCTTTGCCTTGGAAATCACAGCAGCAATTCACGCTGAGTATAACCAACCTTCCAACACCCACCTCCTTTCCAGGAGGATAACTTACAGATGCACGAGCCACCACAGAGGTCTGTCATGCTGGCGTATCATGGGTGTTCAATTGTAATGAGAAAAGCTTAACTTGCCTTGCAGGAAATGCTGTAATATATTTATTTACTTTATTCTGCTACAGTCCATGAAGATCCTATTCTCCCATTTATCTTTACTGAAGGACTCTGGAAGAGTCACACACTGAGTCAGGAAAAAATCTCTAGGTTTGATTGAAAATAATCTTCTAGTATTTAGAGAGAGTTGGGAGTAGGAACAACTAAGCCACAAACAGTGCCAATATTGTAATTCTGCAAAATTTTTCCTGAAAATAATCTCCTTCCACATATGTCAATAAACAATTAATTTTGCAAAAATACATTGCCAGTATTTTAATGCTTAAAAAAAGATTTTATAATGTGGCTGTTACTCAATTGCTATACAGCTGGATATTTTCAAATTATTATTTTATTACAGACAATACTTCCAAGAGCATTTTGACTGATTGTGCATTTTTAACACTTATGCCATTGTTTTGTATATATAAAATGGAACAACTCACATGACTATGTACTTAAATAAATAAAAGTATGTTCACTTTTCTCTGCAAAGTAAATGCAACAATCCTGAAACATTTGGTGATATTTATTAAAAATAACACTATAATTTTAAAGCAACAGTAACAACGTATTTTAAAATAAGTACTATTTCCTGGAATAATAATTTTATTTAATCAGAAGAAAGCTATATTCTTCTCTAGAGTTGTAAATAGGTTCTTAATCTAAACACGGGAGGTGTAAATCTTGAAAATAAAATAAATAATTTTGAAGACCTGTAAGGAGTCTCCAGCCATTCAACACTTGTTACATGAACGATGGATGAAGTTTTGGCATCTTTCTTCATTTATATTTGTATTTGCACAGTCCACATTGCATGTTTTCATATATATACACATTATGTATATATATATATATACAGAAATATATGGTTAGGCTCAAGATTTTTTGACTTAGTTTGAAATTAAAGCTCTTTAGCTAGGCTTGAAGAACATAAAGTATCCATCAAAAACTACAGAAGTTATCCCTCCAAAATAAAGCAATATATACTCTAGCTACTTCACAAAGAAGCTTAGATTTTATCCACGAGTCAATATGCTCAGGTTTTTTTTGACACTTTAAAGATAGAAACCATAATGTACAACATCTCGTATTGTTCAAGGTAAGCTATTAAAATAATAGGTTTTTTTAATCCTCGTATGTGATAAGCTTAACCATTTACATTTCTTACTAGGTTTTTCATTAAACATTTAACTATATTTCAAGTTAACTGAAATAAATATGATGTTCCATATTTAAAGAATCAGAATGAAACATGTATATATAAGGCCATAATACTCAGAGTTAAAGGTCTTGCAGTGACACTATGAGGAGAAAAATAAATAAATAAATAAACAAATAAATCAAATACAGCTTTAAGTATCTGTGCAAAATGTTTTGGTTTTCAAACTCTAAAAATACTAAAATACCTCTAGTCATAATTACATGGTAAAAACCATTTATGTCTACTGGGCAATGTAATGTGCATTACATTCAGTTGGGCTGAATACTCCTCAGCTGTTTATAGCACTTTCACTGGGATGGCTTTACCAAGAACAGCAAGAACAGAGACTCTTCTCAGGTTTGCTTCATGTAACAGCAGCCCCAGGTACATTGTGCATTCTTCTACCTAACAGAACCCTTCACCATCCCAGCTGGAGCTTACAGAGGTGGGATCCTGAAATCCTGCACTGTCTCTCTCTGCCTTCATCCTGACACTTTGCATCCTCCCTTCCTTTCTTCATCAGCCCCCAGTAGCACTCCTTTGCTTTCCACCCACCTTAACCTGGCTTCCTGGGCTACTTTCTGCCTTTCTACAGTAGTAATTTAAAATACTGAATATTCAGTTAGCAATTAAAAACCCCAAACTCTGTGTGGGACAACTGATTCCCTAAGTCAACTGCTAATTGAGTGCAGCCCCATATCCTTGAGAGTCTATTCCAGTCTAGAATGGCTACAAAGCAGGTAGGATAGGAAGGAGCCTTGTGCCAAGGAAGTCAGGTTTGCAGCTTAGCAGAGCCAGTCAGAGACTTGAAATGGGGAGGTAAAGCCCCAGCTGCCATCAGCCAGTTGTTCAGCCAATATTTAGGCACCTTCTGCAAGCAGGTGGGAGCAGTTCACCTAAGACTTGAACTGCATTTGGGAAGTGCCCCTTATCTCCCTCTTCCTGACTGCCTAAGAAAACTAACTGAGGTGTACCAGGTGGAGTGAGTATGGTCTGTGAAAAGTACAATTAAAATCCAAATTACCACAGATCTGCCTTCAGTGACCAGGAAGAAAAAATATTGACAGGAAGCTAAAAATTAATTTACCCCAGTTTATTTCTAGCAGGTCCATAGCTAAGATGGATGTCTCACTCTCACAAAACTACAATTTTGTGAACGAAATGTATTAATAATATTAACTTATTGAATATTTTACTAACCATCTATAAATCAATTAATCTCACTTTTTCCACACTTTGACTCCTTTGGCCTAAGTGAGGCACAAATATTCAGGCAATAAAGACATTGGGGTTTCAATGGCTTCTTAGGCAACTGAGTGCTGTATGTAAGTGCTGAAAATGTTCAGTGATGATGAAATACATTTTTATGTCATAAAGTAGTTAATCAGTTCATTATCTTTTCTGTAAAACCCTCATTCAGTTCAATGCTGATAATAATTAAAACCTCAAACACAGTACACTGTCTGGATAAAAACATAAATGAAGTTTTCCCTGGAAGATTACGTAGGAATTTTTCAGGAAACATATTACTTCTCTGAAACATAGATCCTTTTTGCTATTTAATGTAATTCCTAAGTTCAATAATATCTTTGATCAAAATAAACTGTTAAAAAACACTAGGAAAAAAATCTTACCATTTTTGAGCATTTTCCAAACTGTTCTCTTCTTTTTTCCGTTCTTCTTTAGCTGCCAATGAGAAACATTTTAAAGGTATAAATTACTGTCTTACTGTTTTACAAATCCCACAGATTAAACATCTCTTTTTCAAAGAGATGTTCAAAACTGCACAGTTTGTACACTAAGTACAATAAAAGTGGTAAACACTTGCTAATTTTCAATTTTTATTTATTTCTTGTATACAATGAATGTTTCTACTGTACCAATAAAGTGTATTGGATTTGAAAAGTAATTTAAAATCCATATTATAATATATAGTGTTAGGCATTAATTGAATCAAATGTAAATAATTAAACTTCACTTTCGATTTTTTCAAAAGAAAATAATTTGTGTTTTCTTTTTTATTGTTGCAGGCCAGAACTTACAAATTTAAATGTGTTTCTGCAGCATAAATGATTGGAAATTCAATTGGAATTGAACAGGTACCAAACATAGTTAACACCAACTGTTCCATAGAGCTATCACATTTTGTTCTGGAAGCTGGAAAGTGAAAACACATGTAGTAGGCTTTAAATGTATGGCATGTACATGATATTTTTGAAAAATCAGCCAAGAGTTTGAAATACGGTTAGTGAATCTGAGCCCCTCTATTACAGAATGCTCACATGAACTACTTAAAAGGATTTGATTTTGAAAAGATAGGCATTCTCTACTACTGAAAATGTTTCCTGACCTGGATATTCAAAGCAAAACCACTAGCTTTTGTTGATCAAGTCTTAATACAGAAGAGCAACTTCAGCTCCAGCAGAATACCATGTATATAAAATAATACTACTGTGGAAAAGTTATTCCTACTCCATATTAAAATAATCCTGTAAATGGTAATGTTAATATAAACAGAATTCAGACACTTTTTTATGCAGAGATCAAGAACTTTATCTTTTTGTATCTCAGTTCACAGGAGTGCCTGGTTGAAATACAGTTACAAACCTGAGTTCACAGACAAGGCCATTGAGAAATGGGTCCTGAATGACTCCATTTCATTATAAAGCTACTGACAAAGGGGTTTGTACTATGATAGTTTAAAATGAAAATAAAAATTGATAGCTTCTGCACGTTTGCTGTTAACAAAACAAGTTAATTTCAACTCATACATTTCTCTACCTTGGGTAAGTGTGTTGGAGATATTTATTCCTTTTATCTCAATATGGCCAATAGCCAGAAACAATGTTGCGTGTTCTTTGCAAGGAAAGCAATCAATTCTACATGACTAAGTTCCCCATCTCAAATCTTAGTGGCAAGACAGCAGCAAGTGAAATATACAGAGCAGCTCTGATTTATTGCATTCATCTCAGGGTCCCAAAAAATTTGCCTGAAATTAACCCAATATACTTAATTCATTATTTTAATTTTATACCATTAAAAGTAGAAAACATAGGTTGGAATTCTACTGATTCATAATGATATAAAATTAACTATACAAGCTGAACGATGTAAAAAATTGTACAATTCATTATTACATTAATAATTTATTTCTGGTTTTCGAGGAGATGGAAAATTAAGGCAAATTTCCCAATATGGCTATATTCCCAGCTATAACAGAAACAGCATCTTCAGGGCCCTACACATGAAACACAATAACTAACAAGGACAACATATTTATACATTTAGAGTTAGGCGGCAAGGCCTGATTTACTGTTTTTAATTTTGCAAGAAGAGGATAAGGAAAGACAGTGGAAATAAGTTTTAATTTTTTATACAAAGCTTAAAAAAAAGGGTGTGACTTTTAGGAAGAAACACACAGAGTTCACATTACTATAACAGTATTTGCATTTGTGCACCAATAAAAGAGAAAACAAGAAAGAAGAAAATAACTGTATTCTATGGCAAGCAGTATTTTCTGTATTTTTAACTGTAAACATATCCACCCAGAAATTGTTTAAAAGCATTTATTTGAAATTTAGATGTTGAGACTTGTTAAGAAAATAAATTAACAACTCCATATAACAAATTCTATAATGTGTAAAACAAGAAACTAGAGCAATTCTCTTATCTTTCATAAAATTTCTAACTAATTTTCACTCAAAATCTGAAATATCCTGCTCTTTTTCTCCCCCTTCACAATCTGCAATGACTAGCACAATCAATGCTCTCAGTATAGATTTCCATGAAACAATGTAATTTCCTCAGCAGAGCCTTCAAAGCCTCAGTCAATATATCAATCCTTGTCTTAATTTGTGGAGTTACTGAAGGCAATTCAAATTAATTACATACGTGAAAGAACCTATTTATTTTTATTTCTCTAGCAATACCATATTTGCTTGCATAGGATTTGCTTTTTGCACAAGTGGAATGACGTAATCCCTTCACCCTTAGACCTCATGTTTGATTTCAGCTTCATCAAGTTAAGAATATATTAACAGCCATATCAGACTGGCACAGGGATTCACCCAGCCTCATATCCTGCCCCTGGCAGGCACTGAAACAGGTGCTCAGTTAGAATTACGGACCAGGACAAGCACACTTTGCCAGAGTGTACTCTCTCTGCCTCTGAGATTCTGTAGCTCATACGAAATATTTCCTGCATTGAATGGCATTGCAATGTAATCCTCAATGGATTCTCCTTCAAGAACTTGCTCTTTATTTACTTAAGCTTTTAGAAGCTTTTTAACTTCCACAACCTGCTGTGGAAGTGTTCTATAACCCAACTATATGCAGCACATTTTCCCTGTTTTGAAATGGACACCTGGTATCACTCTTGTATCAGAGAAAACCTGACTGCAGTGAACACGGAAATGCGGTGTCTACTGGCATGAGCTTTTTGATTAGGATGCTTTTGAAGCAAATTTCCCCAGTATTCCCCATTTACTGAGCATTGATTTGGTTTGCAAGTAGGTTTTGGCACTTTTAAACTGATTTCCACTAGGAGGAAACTAAACAGGAAGCTCCACCACAAATGCACTCCAATATTTAATAGGGACAAAAGGACTACAGTGACATTTGGGCCTTCAGACATCTCTGAACACATGAGATGGATGATCTTATGAATTTACCTTATGAATCAGATATTTGTGATTACTTCCTTTTACTGAAATGCAGATGTCAACACGAAGATTCATGATCCTCTAACAGTTTAAAAAGTGAAGTAGTAGTAGAGTGAAATGGTAAGAAAATTCTCCAATTTATTATTTCTACGCATGCTACTTTTTGAGAATAGAATAGTACATGAAACACTATACTGAAAATGAGAAATTACCAGAAAATATTTATGTTTTAGAGGTCTAATGTATGCAAAACAGCTTCCAGTTACAACAGAACCAATACCTTTTCATGCATCAGGCTACTATGAAATAGATCTCTAAAGAACAAAGGAAAGCAAATACTGGATACCAGCACAGACTGAAAATTGAGAAGGTCAGTAACTAACAGAGGCAAGCAGAGAATGATGCACTAAAAAAAGTGCAGAGAAAGACAAAGAAAGAAAAATGGGTAGCCACAACTACACAAAAATCTCAGTTACTTCTGCCCCTCTAGTGAAAATTTTAACACTCATTGTGTCCAACTGGATAAATTTTGTTATTTCTCTCAGACCTTAAATATATGAAGGCACATAAGAATGGTAATTCACTGAAGTGTATTGATTTAGTTGGACACATTACAGCTTTTCTTTTATTTTTCTACTTTCATAATTGAAAGATCTGATGCATAAAGTTTTTACAAATTTTATAAGCATTTTGGAGCAGTGAAAATTTCCACAATTACAAGAAAACTACAACAACTACCCATTAGGGTGGAGATATCAGAACTCTTAATTTTATATTCCAAGGCCGAGTTTCTGTAATTCAAAAATATATGCTTCAAGAACTTTAGGAGACTGCTTTGTAACTTATAGTGTTTTCTGCATAGGAAAAACACCACCCTAAAACAAGGTATTTGATTTTTTTTTCCTTTTAGGAGGGAGATATGTATTTTCTGACTCATGTCTTCCAATCAATAACAGTTAAGACAGAATCTATAATAAGACATAGACAAAAAAACCCCTCAAAACTCAACCTTAAAAGTAAACAACAAAACCAACCAATGAACCAAAACAAAACCCCTATTGACATTCCTCTTGGAACTTTACAAAGCCTGGACAGAGATTGTTAAAACAGTGACAAAAGGTTATTATGACATTTCTAGTCTCACGGGAACCCAACTTCCTCATTAGTCAAAACTAAAATCTCTTAGGTAGGCATGTTGAAATGTAGCCAAAACATGAACCCCATCCTAGAAACATACTAACCCTTGACTTAATGGCTGAGGAAGAAAAGTATACCCCCAAAGAGGTTCACAGCTGGGTTATCTTTCCCCAAGGTGAGGACAGTCACATTCTATGACACTATCAAGTTAGGAGAACAAGTGACAATTGACCTCATTTTCTTGGCCTTTGTAAAGCAAGAACGATGCTTTGAAAGCATTATCCCCACTTGGAAACAGAGATCCAAATCTCTTAGATACTATCATTGGTGATATACTTGGGTATTAGAAGTTGAACCCAGAAGGCTCCCAGGCTGGAAGTGTAGTAGATCTATTTCCATCCTCAAGTACAATTGTCATCCAAGAGAAATTGTTTAATAACCTTGTTTAATCAGGGACTTTGGAGAGTGGAAGAAAAACCTCAAAGGTGTCCTAGGTGGGCAAAATGACTACAGAAGATGATCAAAAGCTCTGCAGTTATACAGTTTTTCTGTTTCTGAACAAAATTCTTGACATGTTCAAACAACTAGCGTACTGCACTATGATAGTACTATGACCAGCACGATTAGAGTGGAATGAAATAAGCCTTCTTTGGTTTTCATTTCAATAGATTTGTTAAAACTGAAATTTTAAAAATAGATTTAACTTTTAGGAAATCCTTCACTCAAGCCATATAGGCCTAAAGTAGCATAATGGAAAACAAAATTTTCATAGGGATGCACTTGCTAGCACATAGCATTTCTTTGAGCTGCAAAGAACTACCATGAGCAATCTAAGCCTCTTCCCAAGGGTTGCTTTAGATTCCCAAGGGTTGATTTAGAATCATCATG